CGTGGAAGCGTCGCGCCGCAAGGGCGTGTCCTTGTAAACCTTGTATCCACGAGGCAAGTGGCGGTGCGCTGCCGTTATATAGCCCCGCAGGTGCGTCGTCCGCCGTCCAGCCTTGTACATCTCATTCGCCCTCACATCCTCACATCCTCCAGACTTGTATACGTCTGCCTCGCGTCTTGGAAGATGTCGCGCGCCACTGGAGCTGATCTACCACCTGAAGTACTATCATACATTCTCCAGTGTGTTCCGCCATATTATCTCTGGCTTGACTTAGACGAACGTCGCGAGTTGAAGCGCGGGCTCGCTGGGCCTGGCGCCGTATGCAAGCACTGGTCCGAAGACATCAGACCTACCCTCTTCCAAGAACTCGAGTTGCGCAGCGCCGAAGACGTACGGTTCCTCAAGAATATCGTCAGCAGTCCCGGATTCGCAGCTTCATGTCTGTCCGGGTCCATCAGGTGGATATATATCCGCCAAGAAGCTACGGGAGCTAAGCCCTGGCTTCACCATGTCCATGGACTTTCAACCCGACTCCAGAATACAACATTCGACTGTGTCGTCAAGAACCACGCACGCGATGCTGCATCAACAGCCGGCCGCTGGGCCCCATTCGAGTCGATACCCACCGTCACTCCATCCTATGTCCGACTTTCCACTCTCACTCTTCGCAATGTTGTATTCACGAGCAAGACCGAGCTCGTACGGCTCGTCCACAATTTCCCCACGCTCGAATACTGCTATTGCGAGCGACTGACCTTCCTTGACCCGTTGCCGCCCGCCCGCCCACGCAGACTCCGCCGACGTTCTCCACCGACTCGCCACAACTTCCAATGTAAGATACGTTATTGTAAAGATATGGTGGCTCCCATTCAAGCGGCACTTGCTGCAGACATCATGGACCCTGCGCGCCGCATGGGCCTTGACGACCGCACATGGGACACATCCCTCCAGGGACTGCTTGCGTTGGCACCGAGGGTACCCGGATGGGTAGACGTGTCTCTGGATGGCGATATGCCTGGTAGATATTCTAATTTATGCAAATAGTGCAAAGCTCACTGGCGGACCCTCACCAGACGCGGTGCGGATCAATTGCCTTTCATTCGGTTTAGGTCCAATTGCGCTCCCCGGCATCATCGCTGTAGTTAGGTTTTGCCGATCAAGTGTGGGCCAGGATGCGGGGCCTCCACTCGCGCATATCGAGAGCATCGATCTCGATCTCCGACTTGGCGATGCCGGAGTTGCGGACACCCTTCCTTGGGACGGCTTGCGAGCCGTCGTTGATTCCCCGCACATGCGCCGCCTTTGTATCAAGCATAATGGGCCGAAGAATGAATACTCCGAGGGCGCGAAGAAGGTCTTGTGCTCTGTGCTGCGCCGCTCGCAGCTGACCTGGGCTCTCGAATCAGGCAAACTGCAATTCGAGAGAAATTCCCGTCCTGAGAATCCTGTTACGAGAGAAGACATCTTGTCAGTACCGACGAAGCACACCATCGACGGCACCACGATCACTCTCGACATCGCCGAACAAGCCGAGTGGTTGCTGCGCCCGGTCCACGCTCGCTCTGAAGAGGACACAACGGAGACCAGGGAGCATTACTTACGAGAGCTCGTAACGTACCGTCCGAGCGGAGCATCCACGGAAGCAGCCTCAGGGACCGCGCCGCCCACTGCAGATGGCGCTCAAGACACGGCAGTCGAGCAGACGTGGGAAGCGGCGGAGGGAGATGGGCCGGTAGGCGAACAGGGCGAGGAAACGGGCGACGTCGGCGACGAAGAGAGCATATAGGGGAGAGGGCATAAGACCGGCATGGGCGTCGAATGCGGGTAGAACGCGTCGTCGACGGGCTGTTGCGACTGCGCAGACATTTTAGTTTTGTTTGTTTCATGAATTTTGTCTCTCCTCTGGTTGCATTCATTTGGACGTTGCTTATGATTCCTGAGCTCGATTGTCGCTTACTATCTTCCAGTTTCGGCCACGGTGTGCGCCATTTGTATTTGTCCATATTATTTATTGCAACGCTTCACCGTCTCATTCCTTGCTTTTATTTGTACGCATACTCAAGCTCCGCTGGGGCTCATAACAATATTATTCATACTTCCACAGAGCAGGGACCCGACGCGTTCGCCGGGCTGGCCAGTGCTCAGTGTGAGAGCGTGTCTGCGCGTCAAGGGCGGAGTTCTAACGCATATCGAAGAACAAATGTTAACAGAAGAAATAGCGTGGCAGCTACTCTTTACTCGGTCTCTTCCCGCGGTCTCACTGCTCCGATCTCAGTATGCAAGCGTTATCGCGACCTCGTTGCGTACGGCAGCCTAAGCCCGCAGATGAGTTGGCAGGGGAGCAGTAGCTGGATAGTTGACCCAGAGGGCGTGCGCACACGCTGAGCATCCATCGGGATGTGTATGGAAATTCGCGATATAACTGTTTACCTGCGAGCGGCTGCCGAGCGACGGCAGAATATTAGGAAGAGAAGATCCAACACATAATTTGCAACGCACAATGAAAGCCAGCGCCTCGAGTTCCATCTGCGCATTACCAAGACGTGCCCTGTTTTCCCTTCGTCCATTTACCCCGCCCGCCCCGCCCTGCTCCCGGGTACCACTCCTGTGGCCGCCAGT